TTTGTACGCGGATCACGTGAGATTTCCCCGTGTCATCCCTATATAGAGAGTCTACGACTCTCTAATGTAACTGCATTCCTCCTGTCTCTTGAGTAGCAGCAGTTTCAAGACGACCGTGTCCGGAGTGAGCCAAGTTGCAAATTACAGTGTCAGAAGTTTGATGAAGTTCTCCACATATTCTGCATACTTCCTACTTGCGGCCTCCTTCTGATTTGGCAAGGTACAGCTGTCACTGGCGACGCTAGCTACAGATTTGGATTCCCAGATTTGTTAGTATACTAAAATGTTGTCAGTATTTACGGAGAGAGAGACCTGCTCAGTAGTGGTAAACGCACCCCTGGCTGTTGTAAAGGATGACGTTGTGTTACGTGCATGCGAGTATTGTATGGGCTTTCCAGAAAGTGTTGCTATACCTTCAGTGTTGGCAGCTCCATGTGATTGCAAGTAGTGAATGTTCATGTCTCCCAGGACAAGCTTGTTTAACACTCTGCCTACAAACGATAAGACCACGGTATTGATGTCATTATTAAAGGGACCAAAGCAGCAGAGGTTCGTTGCTTCCCCGAGGTACACTGCGAGGGAGAACTCATACAAACTGTATTTACTCCAAGAGAGTGCTGTATTGAGAATGCTATCGGTGTGTCATACGACTACAGTGGACAGATTGAGAAATGCCACACTTGTGAAGGTACATGTGTTCAAGTATCACCTTCTTTTTGTGTACATATGCTCTAGCATGTGTTGTTGAATAGAGACAAAGAGATTATTAATACGTATTTCTGCTATAGTTCGTGTGTGCTTGCATGTGTGTGTCCTTATTCCTTTTCCTTTTGCTTTCCCATGTTTGTTTATAGGTTTTCACCTGAAAGCGTTATGCTTCCAAATAGTAATATGTATATATAGCTGGACAATAGCTCAATATACTTACTTAATGGAGCTCATTTGTTTCATACAGTGTTAGGATGGAGGAAAGCTCACCTGTATGCCGTAGAAAATACCAATGTTTCGTTCATATTTGGAAATCTGAGAGGTGCTGCTGAGAACCAGTATCTTTTGAAAGTGGAATATGTCTCCAACGAAGCAAATGCTGACGTTATCAAAGACAGTCATTTGACTGAATTTCGTATAGTGCACATGATATAGAGGTGAAGTCAGGCTACCTACATACAACAGTAGTGGCAGGTACACTGCCAAGAACACCACACTAGGATGGCACAACGGCTCCCTGCATCCCTCGGCGAAGCACAATCATTATCCTGAAGAGGTCACCCTGCATGTCATTGGTGAGTTGGGTACAGTAAGAGTATGTAGCTATTGCAATCAATGTTCTAATGGGGAGCATTACTCATGAGTCTTTGCAGATAGTGCACTATACATACTAGCTGGTTGCATCTGCCTACAATTAACCATATTTCTTGAAGATATTTGAATCTAGAGCTAGTGCCACTTTTTACAGTTCCAGCGGTGAGTTTTGAGAGGAGTAACTACAGCATCGAGTACTCTGAGAACCTGGCAGTTACTGTCTGTCTCTCCTACGACAACACGGGAGGAGGCACGCCCAGTTCAGCGTCAACGTCTCGGTTACTGGACAAGGTATTTATTATTGGGGTTTTTATTATATGGGCACCATACGGGAAAGCACATTCACCTGCATTTCAACTTCAGTTGGTGCGCAAGAGGTCACTACGTGTTGCACTTGCATTTGCCAAATCCGTACTGACGGGGCATCCCAACATGTGTATATTCACATAGTTCAAAGATAACGTTAGACTATATTTTCCACAGATGGTGGTTTTTCCAAGACACACAAATTTGACTTCACCGCCCTCTCTGGACGATCGTGTGACTCTGTCTCTCTCCCTCTCTCTGCCATCCACGACCCCTTCACTGACACCGTCTTCTCAGTTGCCATAGTACACCAGGACCAGCCTCCATTTGACTGGGACCTAATTCTAGTGTCAGTCTTACCGTCAAAGCTCTGATAGGTATGAAATTTGAGAGTTTGAAAGAGGATTATATTCTGCCTAAATTATTAGCAGCAAATTCATACTCTTCCAACTTTTTTTCTGTGTAAGAGATGTTTACTAGCTAAGGTGTTTGATGCAATCGCAACTTTCTTCACCAACAATGAAAGTGGGGTTTACAGACAGCATGGGAAGGTTGTTGCTCCATAGGACTAGATTGCATCAACAGTGGGCCAGTTGGGAAACACTTCATAACTGCCCATTGGACTGAACACAGCTCCCAATAGGTTGACTGGCTGGGTTGCTACCGTTCGTTTTCCTCCTCCATTAGCTACCAGTGGCCACAATCTTGTCTTCCCTGATTGACCAAGGCATTAGGGGCTTATTGAGGTTGTGATTACTGAGACTTCTCTCTGCAATAGTAATGACAATAATCTGTTGGTAAAGAGCACTGCTGCTTGGGTTTAGAGGAACATTGTATCGCAGCATGCGAGTAACAACAAGGTACACACTCACGTACAAGACATTCAGCTGTGTCACGAATACTCTATATATAGCCGTGGTGTTTGTTTCATGTCGAAGCTCCTTTCTACGGGTTTGCTATGTTTCCCCATCTCACAAAAGACTTAGAAACACAGTGCTCAATTAAGCACTTTACAGCAGGTAAGTGTGGTGTTATTACAAACTATTGCAAGTGTGTTTGCTCTGCACACCTATCAGGCTACAGTGCCAGAGGTGCTGCAATTGGAGGAGAGTGCAGATTGCCTGACACTCTCCAGTGACTCTAGTGAGACTTGGCTTGTCAGAACACTCACCAGATGTGTGAGATGAACACTACCACTGCCACTATGTCAATGTCTCTCTATCAGAGGTTAAGAGATACAGATAAGAGCTAGGCGAGATCTGTATATACTTAGTTTTCATCGTCTTCCATACACTTTGAGAATGAAAGTTTTGCAGGGTATAATCATGCATGTGATGTTGGCCTTGAACTAGATTTTCTTACTGGCTTATATGGACACTGTGACTGATATCTTTCCTTGCTGTTTGTGTTGCAGACATGGGCTCTTACTGCATTGTCAGAGATTATCGCTAGTGGAGATTTGTGAAAACAGACACAAGTCATGCCTGCCCACCACTCTAAAATTTGGTATTCTGTAATGACTCCGAAACAACGCCCACAGAGATTAACACTGACCATTGTGTCAACGTTCAATAGTTCTATTTCGCCCTTCGAACCGCCCAAAATTTAGAGTCGGAGTCGTCGCAACACTGTGATAATGGTTGAAGAGGAAGAGCCACAGACCAACCTTGGCGAGCGTTGTACACCAGAGGGAGGCGGAGAGAGGAGGAAGGAGAGGTGAGCGAAAGAGAAGAAGAGGAGGGAGAGAAGACGTTGCTCCAGGTAGTGGACACACACATTCAGAGTAACAACTCCCGTCGCCACCTGTAATTGTAGTAAACCACGCACATGCTCAGCCGCCCACGCAATTATTGATATAACAGTAAATAAAAAAAACTTCGTATTAAAAAGTGTGGAATGTGGGATGCCATAAAAAGCAAGGAGACAAGACAGGATGACCTATAGTGATGCAGTAGTACAATAGGATGATGGCTACATACTTTGAACGTACATCGCTTCTCGTGTAAAATTTCCTCCACACAAGCCATATTGTCGCCCACCTTTACTGTGAAATGCGAGGACAAGTGAAGTGCCGAGGACAATGGTGAAATGTTGTAGAACACAGCATTGTAAAACTGGTTAGTTGAGCAAATGTAAGAAGTCTTAGACTTCACACAATGTAGTCACAACTGAAAACGAGCAGAGGTGTTTGCTGTCTAATGTGCTTATTGAAATAATCATAGATGTGCATCATACAAGGAGCACACTCGTACTTTGCACAATATAGGGCTTGCGTCGAGAGAAGAGAGAGAGAGAGAGAGAGAGGATTGGCGGTGGACATATGTAGTAAGAAAAGTTGAGGCTCTGAATGAGACAGTGGGATACTAATGAATGCAGGGTTTGAATAGACATCCTGTGTAATATAATATGTGCATCCTGTGGGTTAATGATACGTGGGATTTGGTAATGTGGTGATTTACAGTTTGTTGTTGGTATTGATGTTGAGATCAGTGTACGTAGCAAAGTCGTCGACCAACCCTCAATGGTCAATACCAACTACTGTTACGAACGTGGATAAAGCATAATACTCATGCTTATGTGCTACTCCAAAACACCTCATGAGATGGCTACGTTTTAGACAATTGTTCATGCCTCTAGTATGCAATAAGTGGGCAATAGCTGGCCCAGGTAATAATCCCATTGGTTAGAACTTCTGAACCAGCATTCATGTACCTATAGCTCTCTCTTTAGGCAGTTATTATAGCACGAACCATAGTGTTGCATTCATGTGTGTCAAAAATCATAATAATAACATTATTCTGGATTTCTCCCTCCATCTCATCCCTGTCTCTCAAAGCTGGTCTAAACCGAGAGTCTAGTGACAGCTCTGGTCCAGATTCCTGGGTCATTGGAGTGGCTGTTGCAGTCCCGGTTCTCCTGCTACTGGTTATCATAACCACCACTGTCATCGTTGGTGCTCTGGTCTACCACTTCAAACATCCACCAGTACCACAAGACTCACATATTCCTCCTGAAAAAGCATAGCTTATGTATGATAGTCAGTTTTATGATGCACATGTTGTAAGTGCAAAGTAGGGTTGGGAATGGAATTACCACACCCGGATGCATGCAGTGCTTTTTTTTTTATATAGCGCTGCTTCTTCTGTATTATTATGCTAATTTTCGTCGTTGGTAGTTTATTATGTGTTTTCTTGTACAATGAAATTAATGTGTCAGTTGCAGTGTACACTCGACAAATAAAGATAGAATTTGTCCAATGATTCTCTGTTTCTCAAATGTGCTGGCAAAATTTGTGTACCTACCATAGCAGCCAATAAAAGAGCCAATCGTGAACTCGTCTAGTAGCCAATATAAGTACAAATATCGTGAACCGTTCAGTCTGTATATCATAGACCTTCCCATGTCAATGATGGCACAACTACAGAACTGACCAGTGACTGTATGCCAGGTGGGAAGAGAGAGAAACAGGGGTGAGAAGATAAAGACAACGGAACAACAGAAACTAGACACGTAACACAGAGACACGGGGCGGAAGGCCGCCGGGCCGAGGCTGCTAAGTAATGCGCGTGCGCAAACCGTCGCTTAGCAACTGCACGCAGATGGCCCCGCCCCTCTCACGCGCCGTCTCTGGTTTGCAAGGTCTGAGTGCCAGATCATATGCGCGGAAAGGAAAAGACTGTTCGGCCTAGCTGCAGGCTCCGAGCCTAGCCGTGGTGCCTGCAAGCAGCAGCCAAGCTAGTTGCAAGACGACCTCCCAGACTGCACGCTGCTGGTGAGCCTGCATAATTATTGTGGGCGCACACCCGGATATGAGTTTCCCTCCGAATTTGTTGTTATAAGCGCATTTTTGTCGTCCGAGCCGCCACTGCACAAAGCAAAGTATCCCTGCTAGACCAGACCAGACCAGACGTCATCTTGTCTCCGATGATATCCACATCAAAAGCTCCTGCTCCGTACTTTCTGCTACTCTGCAGTCTCCTCCCTTGGCAAGGTACAGTTATCACTGCCTACGCTTTCCATGAATGCTACAAATTTGTTTGCGCTCTATGAAATTATGGTGCATTTCAGTAGCTAACATAGCCCTACATCTCTGCTGTGAGAAATGTACGTACTTAGTGTTAGTACCTTTAGCAGGGTTTACCTCATACCCAGTTTAGCACGCAAAACACCAAGAAAGTTCAACGCGAGACAAGGCAATGCATGTGTCTTATCTAAGTTTAGTGTGTGTAGAAATATTTTGGGGAGGTGTATATAGCTATTCACACCATCTTCTGGTGGGGTCCTGAAAACAATGAAAAGCACTAAAGTGCAAACCCTCGGCGAACTGCGCATGTGCGGTACCACTAATTGATGGACTGGGCTTTTTATGCCTTTACTCGCGGTATCCCGCTAGTAGCTCGCGGAGAGTCTGGCACGGGCTAGCTACAGTAGTAAATAGCATGCGGGAGTCGATACATGCCCTTCGTTGTGACTTGTTGTGCCTTCAAGACACACAGAGCGAACGGACGCGGTCGAGGTAAGCCTGTGCTAATTTACATATTGGCTTGTTCACTTGGTTTTCACGCCATAACTTTAGAACGCAGTAGTTTTACGAAAATCGCCTTTTTTAAAATCAACCCAGTGTAGCACTGAACCCGATTATGTCGCTATTTACCTGATTTCGTGCGCGCGGTGGCAGAAAACGTGGTAACAGACAGACTGACAGACTGACAGACTGACGGACACACTTACGAGACAATGAAAAGCACTGAAGTGCAAACCCTCTGCGCATTGTGACGCGCACGCGTGAGTAAACGCATGCGCTGTATCACTAATTGATGGGCCGGGTTTAGTTCTGGCTGTTACTCCTGGTCTACTAGCCATCTCGCGCAGAGTCTGACGCGGGCTAAACTCACTACTAAGACAGCATGCGAGAGGCGATACACGCCCTGCGTTGCATCCTCTGGTGCCTCGAGGTCGCAGAGACACGCTGATCGATCAGACCCATCCCGTCCGTTGCGTATTTGCATATTGGCTTTTTCGTGCTCTAGCTTTGCAACGGAGCATTTTCAGAGAAAACCGTCTTTATTTTCTGACCTTCGTCGCCCGTTGGGTAGAGGGTATCGTTTCTGGGACGAACAGACGTTCGAGGAGTGAGATGTAGACAAACAGACAAACAGACGGACGGACAGACAGACCCAATGAAAAGCACTAAAGTGCAAACCCTCGGCGAAGTAGCTTGCAGAGAGTCTGACACGGGCTAGCTACAGTAGTAGATAGCACGCGAGAGTCGATACACGCCATTCGTTGTGACTTCTTGTGTCTATAAGCGGACCCGGTCGAGGTAAGCCTGTGCTAAATATAAGCGCATGCGCATTATCCGCCAGCGACTACCGGCATTAGCCATACAATGCTGGAAGCGCTCTAGCTCTGCAACGGAGCATTTTCAGAGAAAACCCCACATATTTTCTGACCTTCGTCGCCCGTTGGGTAGATGGTAGCGTTTCTGGGACGAACAGACATTCGAGAAGTGAGATTGAGAGTAACAGACACACACACACACACACCCAACTACAGTACCCTCGCTGCGCATGCGCGCCGAGGGTAACTACTGTACCCTCGCTGCGCATGCGCGCCGAGGGTTAATGATGAGTGGTGTTTGCCTAGACGTATCAACCATTGAGCAGCACATGTTTGTTTTGTGGAAGTGGTCGTTTAGGGTGTGTCTGCCCTTCGCCTCTATGGCGTATGTGAATGTATACTACTGGTTTCATTATTATTACAGGGACAAGGGCAGCAGATGTTCGTTGCTTCCCCGAGGTACACTGCGAGGGAGGACTCATACAAACTGTATTTACTCCAAGAGAGTGCTGTATTGAGAATGCTATCGGTATGTCATACGCCTACAGTGGACAGAATGAGAAATGCCACACTTGTGAAGGTATATACACGTGTTCAAGTATCACCTTCTTCTTTTGTGTACATATGCTCTAGCATATGTGTTGGTGAATAGAGACAAAGAGATTATTAATACGTATTTCTGCTATAGTTCGTGTGTGCTTGCATGTGTGTGTCCTTATTCCTTTTCCTTTTGCTTTCCCATGTTTGTTTATAGGTTTTCACCTGAAAGCGTTATGCTTCCAAATAGTAATATGTATATTATATAGCTGGACAATAGCTCAATATACATACTTACTCAATGGAGCTCATTTGTTTCATATGCAGTACTTGGTTTGTAAGTGTGTGTCTGTCGGTCTGTCTGCAGTTATAGGGTGGAAGCAGGCTCACGTCTATGCCATTGAAGACTCTGTCATTTCAATCCCGTTTGGAGCAAACAGAGGTGCTGCGGAATCACGATACATTTTCAACGTGGAATACATCTCCAACGAAGCCAACGCCACTATGCTTGACCAGGGAGATTTGATTTCGATTGTATACAGTGCCATTGATATAGAGGTGAAAGTCAGGCTACCTAGATATAGCAGTAGTGACAGGTACACTGCCAAGAACACCACACTTAGGATGGCCAAACAGCTCCCTGCAAACCTCAGTGAAGCACAATTCATCTATCCTGAAGAGGTCACCCTGCATGTCATTGGTGAGTTGGGTACAGTTAGAGTATGTAGCTAATTGCATCAATGTTCTAATGGGAGCATTACTCCATGAGTTGTTTGCTAGATAGTGCTAAAGTACATAAGTACTAGCTGGTTGCATCTGCCTACAATTAACTATATTTCTTGAAGAGATTTTGAATCTAGAGCTAGTGCCTCTTTTTACAGTTCCAGCGGTGAGTATTGAGAGGAGTAGCTACAGCATCGAGTACTCTGAGAACCTGGCAGTTCCTGTCTGTCTCTCCTACGACAATACTGGAGGAGGCCACGCCCAGTTCAGCGTCAACGTCTCGGTTACTGGACAAGGTATTTATTATTGGGGTTTTTATTATATGGCCACCATACGGGAAAGCACATGCACTTGCATTTCGACTTCAGGTGCACAAGAGGTCACTACGTCCTTGCACTGTGCATTTGCCAAATTTCGTAAGTCCTTACCTGACTGGGCAGCCATGCATGTGTGTGTATTCACATAGTTCAAAGGTTATGTTATTTTCCACAGATGGTGGTTTTTCCAAGACACACAGATTTGGCTTCACCGCACACTCTGGAAGTTCTTGTGACTCTGTCTCTCTCCCTCTCTCTGCCATCCACGACCCCTTCACTGACACCGTCTTCTCAGTTGCCATAGTACACCAGGACCAGCCTCCATTTGATCTGGGACCTAATTCTAGTGTCAGTCTTACCGTCAAAGCTCTGATAGGTACGAAATTTGAGAGTTTAAAAGGGGATTCTATTCTGTTAGCAAATTCAAACTCTTCCAACTTTTTTCTGTGTAAGATATGTTTACTAGCTAAGGTGTTTGATGCAATCGCAACTTTCCTTCACCAACAATGAAAGTGGGGATTTAGTGCCAACCTAAACCTGAACAAGATTGAAATATCATTAGGCTGTGATAGTCATCTTGAATTTCTTTTCCCCCATTCTCCAGCCCTGTCCCCATCTGGTACTGTAATCACAGTGAAGTTGGTTGAGACCGCATCCAACGCCATCATTGACGAGAGGAATTATACCATCACGTATCCTACCTCTACACTAACTCCTATTGCAACACCTACTGAACCAGGTCAGTTTGACTCTTGTGTATTGTAGCAATATTATTATTATAGTTAAAGATTTTCAATAGACGTGAGCAGGGCTGTAAAACCAAATGCATAAGGATGATATAGGAAGTGGTCATGTGTGGTGCACTATACTTGGCAACGACACAGCCACCTCCTACATACTGTGTATAACGAAGAATTAGCAACTTACGATTTCCCACAGATGGGTGTGAATTCACATGCCCTGTTGTGGAGGAGTGTTCATCGACCTCATACACGGCAGTTGGTGTAGGTGTGGCTGGAGGAGTGGTAGTTGGACTTATTTCCGGGATAGTCGGGACAGTCACTGTGCTGTTAGTAATCATGAGGAAGAGAGCTTCCAAAGGTATGGTATAATTAAGCCTACATTGTTTGACATGACCATACACCCTGTAGGAACCTCCAACAGAGACACAGAGCTGAGTGCAACAAAGTATGTCTGTGTGTCATACTGTACTCATTTACGTATTGTTGTCGCAAGAGAATAACACTCTTTTTCCCCCTTAAATCCATCCCAAGACCATAGCTTGCAACTCAACAGATATAATATAGACCACAGTTAGTTAATAATAAGACTCTGTCACCTGTCAGTTGTCACACTTGCATTTGAGCCACTAAATCTGTGTATGGCTTAAAAGGCCACACAACTTTGTTGCGTGTGACATGGAACTTCAATGTATACAGGTATGATGGGTGCAGGCAACATGTTTCAGGCTATTTGCAACATGTTTCATGAACCAATCATACCCATAGAGTGAAGTTGCATGAGAATTTTGTCTCACGCAACAAGCTCGTGCTGTGTAGATGTTGGCCTTTAGCGAATATGCTCCAGTTTGCAAATCCAAGGTTAAAGATATACATTTCTTGTAGAGAAGGCAAAACATACATGTTTACAGTTACTTTCACTCTCAGTTACTTTATCATACTCCTCCCTCAACACACACAGTGTTGTTTCTGAGTCTCGACCTCCAGCAGTGGTGTATGAGACAGTGAGTGATGTGGTGACACCCACTGGTCCAGACACCAGTGAGAACGTGGCTTATGGAGTCTCTCACTCTCTACCCATCACCACACAACACAACCCTGCTTATGGACACATCACTCCAAACAAATGAACCTTGCTTGACCCTCTGCGTGCTCTATTTGTGATTGCTTATCGGTTTTTGGAATAGACTGTGTAAAAAGAAACATGTTTGTGTGAGTTCAATGCGAAGTGTCTTCTCCAAGGGAATGTCCTCATAAACAGGAGGTATCTCAGTCTGGCCTCTCTTCCCCTTCCTATGACAGTGACCACGACATTGAACACCAACAGTCCAGCAGTGAAGCTACACACTACACACACTACTCCTGCTGTGACCACTGCTTCTGCTGGGCTCAGTTCCCAATAATGTGAGTATGCCTTGAGTGAAACATCAACTTTGTAATTGGACTGTGTCTTTGTGTGTGTGTGTGGTTAGTGAATGGAAGAAGTGGGCCACACATGACAGCTAAGCGTGCAGCGAGGTTATTGCAGTTGGTCTGTCTGTGTGTGTGTGTGTAAAAATACAATGTCATTGCTAAGTGGGTAGCTAGCTATTGCAAGTTCCAGAGCCATAGGTCACAGCAAGTCATGTCCTTGAAAAAAGGAGGCGTGGCAGTTGTCTTCCGAATGGACAAAATGTCACCCCATGCTCAATATCATTCACATTAAAGAGTATAAACAAATAACCAGTTTTGGGTGTGCAACCCCTTAATTCTGATATCAGCTGAATGGGGATGCTCAGCAGTTGTGGAGAACGGCAAGTCATGGCCGGGACCAGCGATTTTGGGTGTGTTTGTTATGGTCTTTTTAGATAGCTATGCTGATGTTTTCTTCACAATGTTAACATTACCACAGCCCCAAGGATGCCTACATAAATTTTAGGTAGTTTTAAAAGCACAACTGTTGACTCCGTTTCAGAGTAGCTGCCACAATGAAGACTGTCATCCTGCAACTGCTGGTACTCAGTGCTTTCTCTACTGCTGCTGAGGAACACCGCAACATCTCTGGTTGTTCTCTTTGGTACTACCGACCCTCTCGTAATAGCACCGAGTGCATCTGTGGACGCGACTGGAATCGTCTTATTTCCTGTCGGAATGGTCAGTTATTCTTGAGAGATAACTTTTTGCTTGGGACTATGAACACGAGTGACCCAGACGTTCCTTCTGCTCCCATCATTGGTGAGAGTTGGTTTGTTTTCTTGGATTCTGGTGTTGTCTCGGAAGAGTTCAGAAGCTATTACCAGCTGCCGAACACGAGCAATGAAACAGAATTAAATGACAGGCTATGCCATCCAAATAACCGAAAAGGGTTTCTGTGCCAAGATTGTCTCCCTGATCATGGTCCTAATGCCTACCATCCCACATGCTCAAAATGTGACTTGTCTGTGCCTCTCGCTCTGATGCTATATCTTCTATCAAAAATTGTACCCGTCGCACTGTGGTTTGGGCTCATCATGACTTTTCGTATTGACCTTTCCCAAGGACCTCTAATAGGCTACATGATATTCTGCCAACTGTATGTGTTCATTGTAAGAGAGGACAACAGACTCCATCTTCAACAGCCTTTGAAATCGTTAGAGTATTCATCGTTTGTCTTGTCTTCTATTTGGAGCTTAGATGTGTTTCACATAGCACATATTCTGCGCCCTTTTTGCATTAGTCCACAGCTAAAGGTGAGAGACGTAATGCTCCTGAACTTTATATCTGCTCTTACCCCCTTGCTGCTGGCTGTTACAACTTACTTTGTCATTGAACTTCACGCACGTTGCTGCAGTTGGAGGTGCTGGATGCCATTTCATCGTTGTTTTGCTCTTGTCCGTAACTGGAGTGCCACTGACTCCCTCGTTCATGCCTATGCTTCTCTCTACATGCTTGCTTTTCCACTTCTCAACTACAACGTATACAAGTTTTTTCAAGTAACAAACTTGTATGATCCATTTGGTGGTATCGTTAAGCATAACGTGCTGGTTATGCATCCTAAGTTGCACGTATACAGCAATGAAATGGTTGTCTATTTTGTAATTGTGATGAGTCTGCTTTTCTTTCTCGGAGTCGTACCCGTCCTTCCTTGTTCTCCTCTATCCTATCAAAATATTCAGAGCAAAGCTTGAAAAGTGTTTCTCGCAAAGATGCCAGATTGGCCTGAACACTTTCATTGAGACTTTTCAAGGGCCATTCAAGAACGGATGCAATGGAACACGTGATTTCAGGATAGTACCTGGACTAGTGGGCTGCCTTGTACTGATGTACACCATGTCTTCCTGCCTACAATATGTGATTACCCATGACAGCTCCTATGTGCTTTTGGGCTTGTCAGCTGCCATGGCAGTAGCTTCCGTTCTGTGCGCATATTTACGTCCTTGCAAATCGTCGACTGCCAACCTCTCCCTCACATTTCACTGCATGTGGTTGGCTGGGTTTGCCATGATCATCTCCCTGTGGAACATTGCACCTAGTGTACAGTCTCTAATGTTGATGGTGCTTCTCGGTGTCTGTTCACCACTACCGCACATCTTGATGGCAGGGTGGTTGGTGCACATGCTGGACACCAAGGTTTTACACTTGCGACACAGATGCTCTGCCTGTTTCAAGTGGTTTGTGGCGGGAATCCCACTGTTTGGTAACAGAATGAATGGTGAACTTCTCCCGGACCGCTTGATTAATTCCCATCAATATCGTGAAATGTTGTGAGACTCAAGTTTGGTTTTTGTAACAAGGTGCTTTTGAACACCTGTTTGCTTACAATTTTGTATAACTGAAAGGAAAAGGCATAGGAATGGGAGGGGGGGGATGAGAGAGGAACAAAATTAATGTTTTCTCCTTGTATGCAAGCAAGGAGCTGGGTGAGCTTAGCCGACGAGTGACTTGAGATCACTCCAGATTCTGACGTTGCAGTCCTGACCTATCATGAGCACGTTATTTGTAGCGACTAATTTTCATACCTCCATTCCGCAAGCAACTGCCCTCCCCCAAGTGAAGGGTCTTCTTACGCTTAGCCATGCGGTATAATAAGAAAATTGCAATGAGACAAGACAGGGGTATTATTACCTATTGCTGAAACAGGTTCAAAAGCATTGAGTTCTGACATCGATTCATGGCATAATATTAGGTAAATCAGAGTCATTTCCTATCCAATTCTTGGCAGACCGAAAATATTAATTTTGTTACGCTTGGCGTTCCTTTCCATACGGCGGGGCCTTTCGGCGTGTGCGCGGCCCGTTCTTGTCCAACGCACCGAGACACAGGTAGAGAAACCAACTTAGACGGCGATACCATTTGAGACTCTAGCAAAGCGTTCAAATATTCGCCGACATTGCGTGGGCGTCGATATTATAGTCCTAAAATAAAATCAACGACCAGTGCACGCATGCTGGCCGGCGCGAGGCGCGTTGCGCGCGAGCCGGGGTAACTATATACGCATGCGTAAAAAAGCGCGAAGAGAGCGCGCGAGGGGTGGGTCCAACACGGGCGCTCGAAACGCGACAGCGCGGTCATTTGCAGGACGGCTCTGCTTCGCTCACCAGTATACACAGGCACCCACTGTGCACTCGGGGCATCAGCGAATAGTTATGGCTGAAGGTATGTTTAGTACAGCTTCGTAAGATGTTATTTTACGCAAAATGCTCATCGCACCCAGCTACTCTGACGCCAGACGACGCATCAGACGTAGTGGATGAATTGGTGGAGGCAAATACTAAGTCATTTCCGTTGGGTCTGTTTCTGCTGCCGACAGCCAAAGTTGAGGCCATTCACGCACAGTTCAAAAACCCACAAGATCGCCTTACCCATATTATCATTGAGTTTCTGAAGCAAGCAGAGCCCAGACCGACTTGGAGAGCCATTGTAAATGCTCTCAGGAGTCCCTCAGTTGCCTTAACAGCACTAGCTAGGAAACTAGAAGCAGCTCATTTCCCTGACTCTACCTCAACATGTTATGTGGCACCTGAGACTACTGGTATGTCACCATCTGCCAATTCATCTGTCTTATGGGTCATTACTCCATCATTTCAGACACAGAGTCTGCAGCAGACACTACTGCTGTTGATAATGTCAAGTTAAACCCATCCCCTCAACTGAGCGCTGTACCTGGTGAGGCATTGTTACATAATGCATTAATAGAGACTCTAAGAGTGAAAATTCTTGGAATAACATATTACATTATTGTGCATGAAATAGTAAAATACCTTTTATCATGGCAGAACGTTTCTTTGAAGGAGTATAGGTTTATCTGATCGTATATAGACAAACCTAAATTTTGTTTCCCACATGCAGCCCCCGACCACTACAATGTTGCCACTGCTGCCCCTCCAGCGAAAAAGCACAAAAAGGCTCCTGCTCTTGCTGCCCCCAAAAAAGGTAGCTATAACTAAAACAGACTGAAAGAGAGTGGATTAGTCATACTGATTTCTTTTACAATTGCAGCACTGCAGACACGTTTTCATCAAAGGTTAGATTACATCAAAGTAGCAAGTACTTAAGATACCTGCACATTGCAATGCAGATATGTAATAATCACAAGGCTGCTAATTTGGCACAACCAAGTATATATTGTCCCCAGCCACTTTTCCTCTTCAAAGGGCGGGGTGTGGGTACAAGAATAGCACACACCGGTCCAATCTACAACAGTGCACAATTCTTTAAAAAGACAATCATGAGTCATGAAATCATCATCATGATTTAACTCTGTCTCAATCTTCTTCGTCTGGAATGTCAATTATTACATTCTCACACCTTTTTGAATGAAGTCATAGTACCTGGAACAGGTGACAAAAGAAGTGCCATAGTTACAGATGCTCATCATGCTACAAGTCTTTTTTATGTTTAGCTACAACTAGCTAGCAAATAATTATGTACCCTAGCCATTGCTAAAATGTAGCTTCAGAAAGGTGCCCAAGGATTTGCACTTTAGCAATGAATCCCCAAGTCACACCTCCAGACCAGATGGTAGCTAACAAGCTATAGCAGCTGTTTGAGACATTCATATTATCATCCACCGTGAACTCAATGGATGGTACTATACTTTTTCCATGACCCAACTGCCTGTAGTTGTAACATTGAGCCACACCTATAAGCCTTGACAAATGCTAGCATAATTGTTGGAATAATAAGCATTGAAAAGCAATAGATAATAGGCAAAAAATCTTGACACTAGTGAGAATAATAGGCAGGCCTCGAACCCTTCTCCGCGTGATAACAACATGTAGGCCTCTGTTCATAGCAAATGTAGAGAACGTTTGCTTTTAGTCAACAGCAGCGATCATCTCCGATATTATCTGCTGCTGTTATGCTTCAGTACAATAGAAAATGTTTCTTGTGTACTACGAACGTGTTGAATAATAGGCTAGCATAATGGACATGACTGATGAGCATAAGGGAATAGATTAATAGGCAAAAATAAAAGCATAATTTTTCAAGGTCTAGCCACGTCCGAACGCGGTTGAAAGCGTTTGCATAAGTGCTACCAAAATGAAAAGCACAAAGTGCAAACGCTCGGCGAACTGCACATGCGCGGTACAGCTAATGGATGGCTGAATTTACCTGCAGTCTCCCGCTAGTACAGACAGACAGACAGAGAGACACACTTACAAACCAACCCTCGCTGCACATGCGCGCCGAGGGTTAATAATTGTTGTATTTTTAGTGATGTCTCTTGCCTCATCATTAAAATATAGTATACTTTCCAGTGTAAGAATATCTCCAGGGAAGGTTAAAACTTTGGTGTGCTTGAGCAAACAGTGAGCTTTATTGTTGAATTTACAATCAGCAGTAAATCTGAGAGCAGTTACCTGGGTGTTTAGAAAGTATAGTATCATTATTGATCCTATTTTGTGTTTCTAAGTAACACTACTTCACATTGGAATGAGCATGTTTGCAAACAAGGTGCTTGTGCACAGAGTGAGCTTTATTGTTGAATTTACAATCAGCAGTAAATCGGAGTGCGGTTTCCTGGGTGTTAATGAGCCAATGTTATGTTTCTAAGTAACGCTACTTCACATTGGAATGAACATGTTTGCAAACAAGGTAGTTTTGTACTACAATACCTAGTCACTCATAGATCTTCAAAATACGTATTTTAGTTAGCTACCGTTGACCAGAGCTATGATAGTGAGATATGATAGTGAGATATGAATGACCTTCCTTTAATTTACTTGGAGGGAAAGGGAGGGACCAGCCTCTTTATAGAGAGTTGTGGCAGGGTGCTTAGTGTGTTTCCCAGTAGATTTTGCCTGAGTTTTACTTTTCCTATATTATAGTAGCTAATCTGTGCAACCCAAATATCCTAAAAAAACAGTTGACACAGAAGGGTTTACCTGCTTGAATACCCTTGCCAGAGATGTGGCAAAATTTGGCAGACCAAGTTACTTCAATGGCCCTTGCATTGCATGAGGCACATGCTGAAAATCCTACCACGGTGCTATGTATTGTTCCAGGAAGAACCTTAGAAGAAGAATGAGGACATTTTAGAACAAAACAGTGAGGAATCTGAGGATAGATGTGCTACTAACCACTGCATATTCTATTTCAAAATCAGAGTAAATTCCTGAGTTTAGGCATTGCTTGCCAAATTTCCACATCTTTTCGACCTATACCCGATACTGAATACCTGGTAGCTATTGTTTGTGGAGCGATTCATGGCTCGTGAAGTGTGATGTTTAGATGTTAGGTAACGGACAGACAGGCTATTTTGTATGATTATAAATTCAAAATAGAAGAAGAAAAAACAATAGACAGACTGACAGACACACACGACAACTAACTACCGGTAACCCTTGCTGCGCATGCGCGCCGAGGGTTATATCATGGGTCAGACAGCACACCCAGCACACTAACATAACCCGACCCCCGCAAGACTCAGGACGACAACTAACTACCGGTAACCCTTGCTGCGCATGCGCGCCGAGGGTTATATCATGGGTCAGACAGCACACCCAGCACACTAACATAACCCGACCCCCGCAAGACTCAGGACGACAACTAACTACCGGTAACCCTTGCTGCGCATGCGCGCCGAGGGTTATATCATGGGTCAGACAGCACACCCAGCACACTAACATAACCCGACCCCCGCAAGACTCAGGCCGGAAATAGTCAGTCACGCTTGCCATATATCTGCCGCGTGACGCGTCCAACCGCTTGCTAAAATACTTTCCTCCGTTACAGCAGCAGATTCCCTCGAAACAAACTAGCCACAATGGATGAAGACCCCATTCAGAACTATCCTGGTCTCACGCCCTACCTTCTCTCTAACGTTCGTTTGACGGGCAAGTTTATTGGCGCCGGAGCCTACGCCACAGTAGAAGAAGTTATTGCTTGCCCCAGAGCA